ATGTCATAAAACAGCATGTGTGTTACTGTTACATGAGAAACTATCTGTTCTGTAAGCCTTCACCTGAAGTACAATAAAATATTAAAAAAAAAAAAAAGAAAGCAGTGCTGGGAGCAGAGCACGTCCTTTGGACCTGGGTCCCTGCGCCGAGAAGCTCCTAGTCCGGGGGAACATTGATGAGAAGGCCAAGAGGGAGAGAAAGCCTTCCCCTGGAGTTGCCAGCCTGAATTTGGACTTTTAGCTACTTTACTGTAAGGAAATAAACTTCTCTTTGTTAAAACCATCCACTTGTGGTATTTCTGTTATAGCAGTACTAGATAACTAAGACAACCCTCAACAAGATGAATTGACACAGTGGCTGCAACAGTGAGCCCAAACGTTGTAACAATTGTGAGGATAGCGCAGGACTGGGCAACGTTTCTTTTGTTGTACACAGGGTCACTATGAGTTGGAACTGACTTGTTGGCGCCTAACAACAGTAGTATATTCTTTTACGTAATCGATATGTTTTTCTCACTTGAGTAAACCAGTCACTCTAATAGGAATATTGCTTTTATTATCTTAAAACTTTATTATATAGTCATCATTAAAATGTGTATCTTGAATAAAATCAGGAGTTTGAATCCTAAGGTTAAAAAAAAAAAGAGTATGACATTACTCTGAGAAAACATATAATAGGTTGATTTTTGTATCTTCAAAAATATTTTCTCTTCTTAACTGTCTTTCTTTTCGAGTATAAAGGGAAATCATGGAGGTATGAGGTAGTTTAATTCCCTGTTATTGTTCTTGTTGTGTTCCACTGAGTTAATTCCAACACATAGCAACTCTATAGGACAGAGTAGAGCTGCCCCATAGGGTTTCCTAGGCTGAAATCTTTACGAGAGCAGTTCACCAAGTCTTTTCTCCGATGGAGCAACTCGTGGGTTCATATTGCCGATATTTTGGTTAGCAGCCAAGCTCTTAACCATTGCACCACCAAGGCTCCTTTTAAATTCCTTATAGGTGCTAAATTAGAGAGTGCAGTTCAAAATCAGGAAGCTTAGACTGTGATCAGAGACCAAGTCTAGGGGTAGTTCATACTTTCTGAGGGCACTTAGTCTTTCTGTGCTGTGTGCTCTCGTGTTCGCCATGCTATTGTGGATGCATTCTTTCCTTTTGAGCAGTATTAACTGGCAAACTTAATGGTGGGTAAGCTGATTGTAAGTCTCCGAGTAGCAAATTAGCTTTTTCCTTTCTGGCAGGTAAAATGGGATTTGAGAAGTCATCTAGTATTTTTGTACTTCTACTGATGGTTGTTTTACATGTTGAGGATTTGTGTAAATTCATGTAGTCTTTGAGAAAGTTGTTCAAGATAGTGATGCCATTTTGGTATTAATGATTAAGTATATAGATCAAAGTATGATATATTTTGGCTAACAAAATACTAATAGAGTAACTTTTATGTGAATAGGAATATCTTTTAGATCATGTAGTTTTATCTGCTTGTACTTCCTATTTATATCATAGATTTAGCTTGCTTTAGGAAAATTGTCCAAATATTTAAACATAAAGTGATTTAAAATTATGTTTAACTTTGATTAAGCATAATTTAAATAACCTTAAGTTAGATACTTAAAGTAATTCTATGCGTGGATCCTCTATGTAATGAAACTTATTATGTTTAATTTTCCCAGCAGAAATTCCAGAAGCAAAAGCTCCCAGCCCTTCCATAAACCGGCAAACCAGCATTGAAACGGATAGAGTATCTAAGGAGTTCATAGAATTTCTCAAGACCTACCACAAGACAGGCCAAGAGATCTATAAGCAGACCAAGCTGTTTTTGGAAGCAATGCATTACAAAAGGGTAGGTTGAGAATAACCACCTAGAAATAGGATTTTGATTTTAGGAAAGGTCTTAGAGATAATCTAGTGCAACCTTGTGATTTTACATCTTAGAAAATCAAGACCCAAAGATGTTAAGTTACTTACCTAAGAAAAGCCACTGAGCCAGGTTAAAACGACACCCAAGCTAACTTTTCCACTGCAACTCAATGGTATTTGGATCATTTTCCCCCATAAAGGGGAAAGAGAAGCAAGATCAACAGTGCAAGGCTAACTCCCATGAGGCAGAAGCCAGACAAGACTCCTCTGTAGGCCATCTTTACTAATTCTGACACCAACCGTCCCTCACGCAGCACTCTCTGCTTCTCTGCTGGTTTCAATAATTCATAGCAGTGGCCACACAGAACTCAAAAGACCATACTCACGATTATGGGGTTTATTATAAGGGGAGTCACAGTTACAATTCAGGCTCAGGAACACTCAGGATACAGTTCTTTCATCAGGATAGCTTCTCCCCAGCTGTGCTCGCAGGCACGCCTCTCCCTGGCCCTCAGTCTCTGCCCAAAGGCTCTCAGCTTTCTTTCTCTGTGGGCTGGGAAGCCCACCACGCCGTCTCTTGCTGCCGGGTCTCTCTTTCTGGTCTCCTCTTCCTTGGTGGTGAGGGGCTCCTCCTCCCTGCTCTGGAGTTGGCTGCCTTTTAAGGCAGAACTGACCAATCCCCTTGGTAGGCCACGATTACCCTGTCACACAGTCACCTGGGTGGGAGTTATAAGACCATGGCTAGAAAGGTCACAAACAAAAGTGATTAATCGTACCTCATAAACTACAGACAGCTGTAGTAGATCTTTTACTCTAAGCAGCAGTTGTAGATCAGTAGCAGTCATTTTAGGTTTTTGTATTCTGCTTTTTAGTTTTCCTTTCCTTGCTTAGTTAGAGAAGGGAAAGATAGAATTTAGATGTTGAGAGGGACCTTAGCAACTCTCTGGCTTCAGTCCCTTGTTTTATAGGTGGGGAGGCTGAGAGCCAGAGAGGATAAGTGACTTTTTAAAGGTCACACAGCCAGACTTTGCCAACCCAGAACTAGAACTTGTGACTTCCACGCCTATGTCTTTTCTAACACATACATTCAGTTTCAATAATGAGTGCCTGTACAGGGACTCGTTTTGTAAATAGTGAATGAATTACCTTGTAACTACTACAGCCATTAACTCAGAACTATCCCTAAAAGTTCCTTCTATGAAGTGAAGTCTTAGAGAGGAAGGAAGAGGGAATTAGAAAAACAGCATGGTGATTAACTGCTTAGCTATATTCCAGCTGTGGTCAGAGATTACTAAGCTAAAGAGCAAAATGGGCTTCTGCTAAAATATTGTTTTAATATTGAATTCAGTCAGTAAGGGAGAGAAGAAGCTTCTTTCCTGCTCTTTAGGAGTGTTACATTGAGAATAAGTAAGCAGCCCTCTGTTTGTCTTGGTATTTGTGAGCAAATAGTGACATTTAATGTTAAAACAAGCAAGCTGTCATTGATTTTTTGTTGTTGTTAGAAGCAATAGTAGACTACTATTTGATATGGAAAAAAGCATAGCTCATATGACATACAACTTTAATTTTTTTTATCAGAAGTAAAAATTAAAGTTTCTAAGTTACTTTATTCTAATATAGCATGCCTTAATGCAGCATTTATTCTTCTAATACATATTATTATAGCATATTCTCTTCTAATATAGCATACACTAATATAGCATACCCTGTGAACATTTCATATGCAACATGTTCACAGGGTATGCTAAATTATATTAGCATGTAGTATATATAGCATATATACTATATAATACTATATTTTATAAAACTGCTTAGCTTGAATTTGTTCATTTTTCTTTTGCTTGGATATGTCATGTGCCTTTATATTTGTTCTGTAATATTTTAGTTGACTTTTAAGTTAGCATACTAAAGTAAGAGGGAATTAAATGGTATAGGTGCCACCACGTGTAATGCTTTCAAGGCATCAGGATTAGTATCAGACATCTGGATATGGCCTCAGGTTCCTTCTATTTTATGAGCCACTGTGAAACCTGTTTTCCATTTCTACACTAAGTGTTTCATGGTCAAGTGGCCAAGTTCTATGCATGTATCTCATATATCTTCAGCAGCTAGCAGAATGCCTGGCATACATCTGATATTCAACAGATACTTGTTAAGCCAAATGTTCCCTAGGGAAGCCATGTTGCCTTTGGCTACAAGTTAATGTCCTTTCATATAAAGAAACAAATAAATACTACTTAAACTTACCTAACCTAACTCTAGCTTCAGATCACTTAATAATATAAATTTCTTGAGAGAATGGATTGAGTACAACTTGGAGAAGTTTCTGTGATGGAATGAAGTGCGTAGTAGTGTACAGTGTCAAGCTCTGTGAAGGGTCTGGGGTTTATGCAACTTGCAAGCTAACAAGTTATCCTGCCACAGATTCATGGGTACTTGCAGAAGACACGAGTCTCCTGGGTCAGAAACAAAGGTCAGTTTATTACTCACAGCAGTAGCAGTAGCCAGAGTATCAGCATAAAGGAGGCAGCCTTTCTCATGAGCATCACTAGAAATATCTCGTCACCATCACCTTACACAGTATTAATATGAAGAAGGATACTTACTGCCGTTACCACCATACCTATTTAGAGGTGATCGTTGAAGATAGATGAAATAAGAAAAAGAAGTGAGAGATATACTATATGACTCCATGGTATTTTGTCCTTGCTTATAATTACCATAGAATATTATAATTATTTGTTTGTATTTTAGTCTTCCCAGTTATCTGAAAGCCCCCTGAGCATTTTATTAATCTTTGTATTTCATTGTCTGGTACAGTGGCTGGCAATTCTACTAGTTATGTAATAAGTGGTGCAGGACTGGGCAGTGTTTCCTTCTGTTGCACATGGAGTCGCTATGAGTCAGAACCAACTTGACGGCACCTAACAACAACAACAATACGTAATAAGTGTTTTTACAATGGATAGAAATACAATTTTCAGGTGTCATTATCTTACCAGGAAAACAATACTAATAGAGGTATAAATTTAGTAACATGGCATAATACAAGATAAATAAAGTTCAGTTGCAATATGATGTATCAGAGATAAAAAGCTAATGAGCCTGGCTCATTTTTAAAAAACTTGCAATTTTTAAAGACAATAACAGTAAAGAACATTAATTATTAAGTACTTAATCTAATATGGAAAATTAGTTTTTTCAAAGAATTCAAAAAGACTGAGGATTGCATCTTAGATCTAGCTGAAAAAAAGAAAAATTTAACAATACTTCATAGGTGAATATGAACAGTTAAAATATCATTTAAATTACAATGTTACATTGATTATTCTAGAAAAACAAGGAAGCATATATACTACATAATTTTTTGTGAGGGAGGAAAAAGCAAGAATTTGGGGAAGGGAGGTTTCCAAATCTAGTCAACTTCAAAATATATTCTAAAACGCAAATCATCATAACTGAATGAGATTTTGGTAAAAATAAAAACATAGATGAATGAAATAAATCAGGGATTCCAGAAATAAATTCAATTTTTCAGGAGCAAATTACATGACAACTTGGAAAACAGAGGGGAACAGAGTCTTTTTTTTATTAATTGCTGCTGAGAAAGACCAAGAAGTTCGAATACAGATTATCTGAAGTCCGTGTTTCATACCATGCACCCTACATTCCAGCCATGTTAAAGAGTTAAACATGAAAAACTTAAAAGAAAGTAGACTAGGATGTTCATTTCAACTGAGAAGAAAGGCTAAAATTGAACTATTGAACAATTGTTTTTTATGACCAGGTGAAAGCTTTTTTAGAAATCTGTACAATGACAACTCTTCAGACACAGATTAGACTGGATTATGGGACATAAAATGATACTCGTGAAGAGAGTGCTTCTTAGCTCAAGTAGATACATGAGACTAAATGGGCAGCTCCTGTCCAGAGGTGAGATGAGAAGATAAAAAGGGTCAGGAGCTGGTTGAATGGACACAGGAAATCCAGGGTGGAAAAGAGGAATGTGCTGTCACAGTATAGGGAGAGCAATGAGAGTCACATAACAATATGTATATAAATTTTTGTATGAGAAACTAACTTGAACTGTAAATTTTCACTTAAAGCACAATTTTAAAAAAATCTGTGCAATGAAAAGTAAAACTCAGATAAAGTGGAAGGCAACTGTGGGAAATTATGGTGAATATAAGTAAGAGCTTACTGTTACAGAATGTGTAATGTTTACTAAGGCAACCAGATGACAGGTATGTAAATACCTGATCAGGACAATAACGGGCGCTGCAGTCAAGATGGTCACAAAGTGCTGTAAGTGCTATGAGACCTACAAGATTATTCTGACTAAGGGAATGAGGGAGACCTTCTTAGAAGATGTCAGATGTGAACTAAGCCTTAAACGTGATACTCTGAGGACCTCCTTGGACAGATGTTGGAGGAGCGGAGAGGACTAATTTGGACAGAGATCAGTCTGTCTAGTGTTTTAGATCTAGTGTAGGCTAAAAGCAGGTTCTGGAACAACAGGAAACCATTGGGTCAGCGGGAAGTAAGCTGGATTGTTTGGGCTGAGTGTGCACTTCAGAATCCATCTGATGGAAGGCCACTGGAGGTTTTGAGGCAGCGTGTGACCAGATCATACTCCAAGAAGATTAGCTTGACTGTATTATTTAAGATGGATTGCAAGTGAGAAAGACCAAAGTGGCAGAGAGCAGCTAGACTCCTGTGAGAGGTAATGAGGGCCCCAACCAAGAGGGGAGAGATGGAGAGGCGTTGTGAAAGCAGTTAGGCATGGTGAGGTGACTGCCCTGCCCGAGTGCTCCCGCCCCGTTATGAATGGAGCCAGAGCCTTGACAGGGCGGGATCAGAGGAAGGCTGTGGGCAGCAGTCCTGTGGAGTTTGTCCTGGGCATAGTGACCTCTTTATGAAAATCCTTGGGAGATACTGCTGATTTTGGTGTCAGGAATGATTTTTTTCACCTGAAGAATTAGTTTGCTTTCATCTTTTGGATGCTGAATTATGTAACTATTTTCATCTTAGTGATGGAGGTTTAGTTAGAGACAAATTTATGGGCTGATGCTCAACTGACTGACAGATCTTCAAGGAATACCGTTTTGTGTAGTCACTCAAAGCTCTGTTTTCTCTCCGTGTCTTTTTTTCTTTTTTATCATCGTCTAATTTATTGTGCTGAACCACATATATCTTTTATATAGACCTTCAATCCTCTTTGGAATAAAGTGGGAAATAAATGCATATATTAGACCTATGAAATCAGTGAAACCAAAATAAAAATGATAAAGCCCAGTGTTGTAGGGACCATGGAGAAATAAACACACACGCGGCTAATGACAGTGTACCTTGGAGTTTCTGAGATTGTATCTGGTAGTAGATACCTATAGCTATAAAGTTGTTCATGCTTATTGATCTGCTAATACCATTTTTGGAAATGTATCAAAGACATGACCCAGAAGAAAACAGTCTTCACAAAATTGTCTATAGCTGTAATACATAATAATGAAAAAAAGGGACGCAACCTAAATGCACAATGGTAGATGATTAAATAAATTGATTAATAGAATGGAATATTATGAAACCATTAACAATGAATAAGTAGACTAGATAAATAGAAATGTACATAAAATGTGTAAATTATCAAAACTTTGTAATGTATCCATGTGCAAATATGTATACCCAGCGAAAGAATTAAAAGAGGTCATGGAATGTACTTATTATTAAGTATAGGTTTTTCTCCCCTTTGAAGTTAATATAATTTTTAACTACTTTTGCAGTTAGTTCTAACACAAGGAGTGGGTTTTGAAAACTTAAAATTTAGAGCTGTGCTCATGATCTTTCTTTAGCTTCTAAGCAGCCTCTTTGTCCTTTTGTTTCAGGAATTAAGCATTGAGGAACAGTCAGAATTTACTCAGGATTTTTACCAAAATGTGGCTGAAAGAATGCAGACTCGTGGAAAAGGTAACACTGTGTTAACTAGCCATGGAAGGGTGGCTGGGAGTTGCCTAGGCTCACTGCTTGGTCTCTTAGCAATCTCCCTCCTTCTCTGGGGGGCCTGGCCGGCTTGCCCACACCATCCTGGGAATTACCCCAGTGACACCCTGGTAGCTGGTGGTGTGCGTAGGAGTGCCTGTGAGTTCCACCATGTGTATCTTTCCAAGATCTCCACTATGGGTAGGAGCTGGGTGGATTAAAACCAACTTTGGAGGCTTTTCTAAATGAGCCTCCACCTGGCAGTCACTGTCTTGATGAGTCGTTGCTCATGATGACGTATTCCTTGTGGGGTTTAGGTCGGAAAAAAATTGAGACTCGCGGGCTTAGAGCTTTAGGTTTTAGAGATTCTTCTTGAATTCACCCTCTGTTGAGGTGGGACTTTAGGAGGTACTTCACACAGGCGTATATCTGAGAGATCTGCCCCCATGTGTAAGCATCAGAGAGGATTTTATGGTAAACCTCAGAGAAATAAAAGGGTAAGTCTTGCCAGCTCATATCAGTCTTGGAAATTTCTAGCGCTTTTCTGATGTAGCAGTAGGGAATGGCCCAGGCTGAGGTCTTCCCACTGGGCAGGGTGTACACCTAGTAGGTTCTGCTGAAACAGCTTAAACTAGAAGTGGGAGTTCTGTAAAAGGCAATCTCAGAACTTGAGATAATTTTTAAAGGGTATTTTTAAATATACCTTTGTTTCTGAGTGTGTTTAATACATTTCTAGTAAATTAGTTTTCTGCTATGTAGAAAGAACTATGAAAACAGACACTTAATTTAAAATGTCCGTCCTTCTCTTGAGCTGTTATACCCATTTCGGTATTTCAGTGCCTCCAGAAAGAGTTGAGAAGATAATGGATCAGATTGAAAAGTACATCATGACTCGTCTCTATAAACACGTGTTCTGTCCGGAAACTACTGATGATGAGAAGAAAGATCTTGCTATTCAAAAGAGGATCAGGTAGTTGTTTTGTGGAAAAACAGGGCATTTGAGTTTCAAACCTTGAGAGAATGTAACAGCTAAGGGGCCTACCATCCTTACATGAGCGTCTCTGTGGTGCTGTAAAGAAAAGGACTGTGGTAAATTGAGAGGAGTGAAAGGGCTTTGAGTCTCATCTTGCTTACGCATCTGACCCCAGGCAGCTTTAGGTAAGAACCATGTTTGATGCTTGAGATTGTTTCAAATCTCCAAAATTTCCAAGGAACAGGACTGATTTCTTGGTTCATTGTGCTGACTCTCTTATCAGGCAAGAAGCTATAAATATTGATATCAAAGCAATGGGTGTCACCCTTCCCCACCTGTACCAAGGTGCCTGTCATTCACCCAATCCTCCAGCTGCAGCTCTCCACGAGCACCTCATCTTCCATGCAGAGCCCCAGCAAAAACCCTTAGGGAATCAGCTAACCGAGTGTGGGAATGGGTTCAAGGTGGGCACAGTGAGGTATTCTGGAGGAGAGGGGCTAAGGAAACCCAGATGGGGTTCCAAGACAAGGGGTGGTCATTAGTAGATATGCCCTTGAAGGTATCACACCAGAAGTGAGGAGCTGTTTTTGGAAGGAGGGAAGGTAGAGCCAAGAGGTGAGAAGCCAGAAGTAACTAGACAGTCCTTGGACTGAGAAGCAAAATAGAAACAAAAACCAAGAAAGTAGCGCAGGTCAGCAGCAGAACCTGGAGTGCAGTAAGGGTGTGACCAGGACACACATGGTGAGTCAGGCCCAGGTGAAACACACTTGTTGCTGGGCAGAGTCTGAAAGGGCAGTGAGGACAGCAGGTGCTTCTCAAATCTTTGTTCTCAAATGCTGAGTGCTTTTCGCTCTTAGTAGCATCATTGCATTTGAACAACTAAAATTGTCTGCTGCTCGACCTGTGATAAGTGCAGAAGAGAAATCTCATTTTAGGATTCTAGTAGCTTTGGGCACATCAGCTGAGCTCCTAATGTGTGCAAGGGTGACGTACATGGGTCGGGGGTTGCCTGATGAGACAGGGGAGCCCTATTTTGAAGGGAATGCTAAAATCAGCAACTCCCGTCTGTTCTCAGAACTCTCCTTCACTTCTTCACTGCTGCTCTCTCCTCACAGAGCCCTGCACTGGGTCACACCGCAGATGCTTTGTGTCCCTGTTAACGAAGAGATTCCAGAAGTGTCCGACATGGTGGTGAAAGCAATTACAGGTGAGCAAAACCGAGAGATTTGACATTTGGAGGTTTTTCCCTTGTGTTAATGTTTTGCTGTTATTAGTCCGTATTTATTTCAATGAGCAAAAAATTAGTAAAATCTTTCTAAAACGCGAACTGCCAAGGACAGGTTGGAATATGGTAGAAGTGCTTTGCCAGAGTTGGATTGTTAGTTTTAGGAATTTCACACTTTCAGAGCAGCAGTGAAATCCCTTCCCCCTTCACTCTCTGTGACCAGGGTCTCTTATTTCTTGGTCATTGAACCAAATTGTGGTCAAATGCAGCTGGGTTAATTCCTTAAGACTTGGTTGCATTTCTATATTTAAAATCATTTTGGAGAATGGCAAGTAATCCTCAAGCTAGAATAACTATACTAAAATGATGTCTTTTGTTGGTTGTTAATCAGAGATGTGTTTTGAATTATTTTTCTGGTTTGTTCAAGAAGTAAATTTAGAACCCCAAACTGATATGACTGTGCCATTCTGGACAGCTCCAGGCTCCTGATAAGGTTTCTGTTTCTTGTTCATAGGAATAACCCAGAAGTGCAATAGAAAAATTAAAACAAAACAAAACAAAAAACAACCCTCCTACTGGAGGAGACTTCCAGCCTTGGCCAGCTTTCCCTTAATTAAGGAGAAGACTCAAAAAATCCTGCTCATGTAGAGATTGTTAATGTAGTTCACTGGGAAGGAGAGTGGGTCAGCTAATGTTAGCACTGTTGGAGGTAGATGGTTGAGTAGACTCCTTTTATTTATGAGAACCAGAGACTCACTCAAGCTTCAGAAGGAATGCGGGTTTGCTTAAAATATTCTCAGGGTCACAGGGGAGGCAGGCCCCTCACAAAGCTATTCCAGGGACTGGCTTATCTTGTTGCCTCTACAGCAGCGAGAGGGTCTTTACTCCAAGCCTTCAACTAGTAACATCATTCTCCCACTCTTGCAGGTTAGGCTTCTCTTTGTATGTCTTCGCATTTCCACTTTGTTATTAAGTAAAGTATTTTCTAATTTCCCATGCAAGTTCTGGAGATTGAGTCTAACTGGCCTCGCTAAATACTGTCATCTTTGTTGTGAAAAGCTTTTCTCCTAGGCTTTGCCATAGGTCCCATGAATTGACTCCTTGGGTCAAGGGGGTCAAGGCACACCCTCACCCCTGTCTTTTCCTCAGGGAACAGCATAAGAGATAGAAGGTAGGTGGTAGTTTTCACAGGAAGTAGTGGGCACAATAAGGATTTCAAAAGCCAGGATGTGAACCTTCTACTTACGTGTTTCCAAAGATGTTTACTAGAAAGTTCAAGACCAATTAGTTTATGTTTAAAGTAATCCACAGGAGTTTATGTTGAGGACCCTTTTCTGAAAGCCACAGGTCATACTTTGTAAAACCAAAAACTACAGGTGCCAGCCCATTGTTTACTGAAAAAGAACTAAGAATGATGATTTCAATACATCAGTAGTTTCTTAATAGAATTTGAGAGGTAGAACTTTTCTCAAGGCATCTGAGATGGAGTCTCAAGGGCTATTTTGATAGTAGAAAAAAAAAATCAACCACAATATTTAAAAGGCCTCCTTATTCTTTCTCTCAGCCCCCACATACTGTCAAGTGTGGGTACAGCCCAGCTCTGTGAGGATAAAGGCTACACGATCGTTTTCTTCCTGCCCGAGTACAGGAGTAGTCAGGAGAGGGCATGACCTGTTACACTGTCTGATACTAGTTACACTTCCCCACATCATCCCATTTTTTTATATAAATATACTGAATGAGGCAGTTTCCATTTCAGTTGACACCTGTCCCTAGAGAAGAGACTCCTGGGAAAAGAACCCTCCTGTGTCCCCTTGGTTCCAGGAAGAGCCCCGGTCCTGGCACTCAGGGCTTCAGAGATGATCATCTCCATTGTAGGAGACATACAGTGAGTAGAGATTTTGAGTCTTCTAAGCTGACTCAGAGTGTTTAGAGGAGATGGCCACAGGGGTTAAAGCAGATCACATCTAACGTACGCAAGGATGGAATCAACCAGAGGAAACAAACTCCCATTGTGGGAGCTAGGGGGCTCAGTGGAGGGGGTCCCTGAAGTCACAGGGAGCAGTGACCAAAGCCACACAGTATTTTTTCTCCAATGGCCAGAGGAAGGAAAGTCGAAGGCCTTCAGTGTAGGGAAATATGTTTTTAAAATCTTAGCTCTGCAAACGTGATCTTAAAAACCCCTGAGAGATGCTAACGCTCTAAGGTTGACCCTTTAGTCAAACTCAAGGGGGGAAATAGTCACTGAAAGACCCTTTTGAAAGAAGCCGCCATATCTAGAACCATCAAACCTGAGTCTGAGACACGAGTGTCGTCCTAGACAGGCTGGCCTTCATAACCAGTGCTTCCTGGTAGGGGCGTCTTCAGGCTTTCTGAACTCTTTCACCCGTGGTTCACTGGGGCATCAGCTGATGCCTCATGTTTATGTGACCCATCAGCTGTGAGATCACGGCGGAGTGCGTAGTGGATGGTGGCAGCCCGAGGGATCGGGGACATGTAGCCGTGTCCAGGGACTAGTGGGACTGGGCAGGAGATGTTGCCAGTCAAGTGGCGCAGCATCAGCTGGGTTCTTCCAGGGCAGGGGGCTCGCATGCCGGCCTGACAAGTAACAAACATGAGGTCCATTGAAAGAGAATGGCATAAGGTGAGAGAGTCTTCAAGGCCTCAGCCCTGAGGTTTAATTAGGACACTCCTCAGGACTTCTCAGAATGTAGAGCATGTCAGCCCTGGGGAGATAGAGGATCAGAACATCAGCCCTAGGAGTCTGGGTGTAAGGAGTGTCAAGGCCTGTGGGTGAGCATTGCCCTTCTCACTTGGCTCCACCCGTATAGTTTCTTTCTGGCTGTGGAGCTGCCCCCAGAGCAGGGGCTCTCAACCAGGGGCAAACAGTTGGCAACATCCAGAGACATTTTTTAATATTAGGCCAATGAGGATGCTACTGGCATCTAGTGGGTAGAGACTGGGGATTCTGCTAAACTTCCTACAGTGCACAGGACAGTCCCCTACAACAGCCTAGAATGTCCACAGTGCCAAGGTTGAGAAACGACCTAGAGGAGTAGCCTACTTTGTTGTCAAAGCCCCATTGAGGATAAGCATAGACCTCTGGATCTGGCTGAGAGAGAGCACACACGCTCCACTCTCTCTCTCACGCTGACTACAGGTAAGACCTGCACAGAAGACATAAAGCAATTGTCCAAGGATTCTGCCAAGTGCATAGTGACAGGCGGGTTGGGGAGGGGAATCATTACTTTAAGAACAGCTAATATTGTGATGAGCTTCCTTTTTTGTTTTGTTTTTCTCTCTCATATCTCCTTGTTGAGACTTTGTTGTCGTTGTAGCTGCCATTGAGTCAGCCCCGACTCATGGTGACCCCATGCACCATGGAACAAAACGCTGCCTGGTCCTGGTGCTGTCTTCAAAATCACTTGCAGGTTGTACCTCTATGATCCGTAGGGTTTTCACCGGCTGATTTTCGGAAGTAGGTCGACAGGCCTTTCTTCCTAATCTGTCTTAGTCTGGGAGCTCCGCTGAGACCTGTTCAGCATCACAGCAACACACAAGCCTCCACTGACATACGAGCTGTGGCTGTGCATGAGGGGCATTGGCCCAGAATCGGAGCCAGGTCTCCCTCAGGGAAGGCGAGAATTCTACCACCGAACCACCACTGCCCTCTAGTGGAGGCTTCAGGGAAGTGCAGGTCATGAAACTGCACGTGATGTGGGAGTCTAAAAGTGTTCACCCAAAATCCTTCTTTCAGGCCAGAGGACTCGGGGTGGGAGGGACACTGCAGGATGAAGAGTATGGGGAGAAGTCCCTGGAAATTTTTCTCTCTTTCTTCCTTCCTTTTCCCTTCCTTCCCTCCCTTTTAATCTCCTGGCCCTGCCTTGGGGCAATAGCAGCCATGCAGGCATTCAGATAAAAAGTAATATGCAATAAAGTAATAACATTTACTTCCGTAACTAATAGAACAAAAGTTAATAAGAAGTGGTTAAAAAGGCAGAAGGCTGAACAAGGTAAATGAAGGTAATTAAAAATAGTAATTAAAAAAAAAAAGATGTAACCTAAATTCTTTTTGTAACAAGTTCTATTAAAATAAATAACCCATCATCATCAAGTCAACTCCAACTTATGGCGACCGCATGTATTACAGAGTAGAGCTACCCCCACAGAGGATTTTTTTTAGCTGTAATCTTTACAGAAGCAGATCACCAGGCCTTTCTTCTGTGGTGTCACTGGATGGGTTTGAACTACCAACCTTTAGGCTAGTAGCTGAGCACAAACTGTTTGCACCAACCAGAGACCTTTCTGTTTAAAGAGAGAAAGAAAAATAAGTAGATTGAGACTTAGTAGCTGTCTTAGTCATCTAGTGCTGCTCTAACAGAAATACCACAAGTGGATGGCTTTAACAAAGAGAAGTTTATTCTCTCACAGTCCAGTAGGCTACAAGTCCAAATTCAGGGCATCAGCTCCAGGAGGAGGCTCGCTGTCTCTGTTGGCTCTGGAGGAAGGTCCTTGTGATGCATCAGTCTTCCATTGGTCTAGGAGCATCTCAGCACAGGAACCTCTGGTCCAAAGGATGCGCTCTGCTCCTGGCACTGCTTTCTTGGTGTATGAGGTTCCCATGTGTCTCTGCTCACTTCTCTCTTTTATATTTCAAGAGAGATTGCATTAAGACACTAATCTTGTAAACCTCATCAGCATAACCTCATCACAGTGATAGAAATTTACAACACATAAGGAAATCACATATAACCTCATCATAGTGACAGAGTTTACAACACATAAGGAAACCACATCAGATTACACAGTCATACAACACTGGGAATCATGACCCAGCCATTCTGACAGATATTTTTGGGGGACACAACTCAATCCATGACAGTAACAATAATTATAACCCATAATTAAAAGATATTAAATGTGCTAAACAATAAAATAAGCAAAAGCATATAATCCACGTAATAGACTCATAGTAGGGGGAATAAAATCATGAGTAAGTTAAAATCAGGCCTGTGCACCACCTATCGTACTTGTCTTCCATGGCTGGTGGTCCTCCGAGGGCGCCCCAAACAGCCAGCCTCACATGGGGAGCTGAGACCAGAACTCTTGGGCACACCACACCGTCTGGTCTGAGTCTGAGACGTTTGTTCCTGCGAGTGGCAAGAATCTGCTGTCAGCTCAAGCCGCTTTAGCTCTTTTCTGTCATGATGCTCCAGATCACTAGCAGACCTGCCCGTTCCAGGCACACTTCCTCCCTCCTGTGGTGTTGCTCCAGCAGTGCCGACGGTTTGTACTTAACCACTCCTCATGCTCCTGGTCTCTTTGACCGAGGGTGTGCATTGATACAAGCCCAGTGGTTGGACTTAGTGATAGTCAAAGGCAATGAAACCGTTTTTCTCTGAGAGAAATAAATGTTATTTATAAGATTAGATTTATACCGTTGCTCTTTCCCTCCACTAAGCAGCAGGCTATGAGCGTCATCAGGTCTGCCGCTGTTGAGGCTTACATGCCATGAGAACTGGCTGCTGAAGACAAAGTGTGTTGGATTTCAAAACTGTGTTCTGGTATCCGATACAGAGATGCTTTAGATAGCAGCCGCATGTCTAAAAAGCAGCGTGCACATTGATTCGTTCTAAACGAGTTTTAGAGTGTTTGACAGGAATAGAAACAGTCAAAAGACTCTTCAAAGCAACTTATTCCTTCTCCATAGAGCTCAGAGGCAGTTTACCGTGGTGATTAAAAAACATGGGCTTTAGAGTCAGATAGACTTGGTTTCATACCCCAGCTCTGTCACTTGCTCTCTCTATCATCTAAGGCAAGTCTATGTCACTTGCTCTCTCTATCATCTAAGGCAAGTCATTTAGCCTCTCTGAACCTCACTTCCTCGTCTACAAGTAGCATCCACTTCATAAGGTTTCTGAGGATTGAAAGAAATGTGCTTGTAGACAGCTGTGTAGTACCTGACTCATGATTTGTGTGTTCTGTGAGTATGAGCGCGTATTTACTGTTTTGGGGGCCTAAGTGTTTCATGGAGCCCTGGTGGCACAGTGGTTAAGAGCTCGGCTGCTAAACAAAAGGTCAGCAATTCAAATCCACCAGCTGCTGCTTGGAAACCCTACAGGGCAGTTCTACTCTGGCCTGTAGGGTCGCTGTGAGTTAGAATCAACTCGGCGGCAGTGGGTTTGGTTTTTCGGTTAAGTGTTTCATACGCTAGTGTGTTCCTCTATAACATAACATAAAAAATGATTATCCTATTGCTGCTTTCATGTGATTGTTTTCTCACCAGCAGCAGTGTCTTTTCTTTTTATAGATATCATCGAAATGGATTCGAAGCGCGTGCCTCGGGACAAGTTGGCCTGCATCACCAAGTGCAGCAAGCACATCTTCAATGCCATCAGGATCACCAAGAACGAGCCGGCCTCCGCTGACGACTTCTTGCCCACGCTCATCTACATCGTTCTGAAGGGCAACCCCCCACGCCTTCAGTCCAACATCCAGTACATCACCCGCTTTTGTAACCCCAGCCGGCTGATGACGGGTGAGGATGGCTACTATTTCACCAACCTGGTGAGTACGGCGTGCTTGGCATTAACAGAAGAGCCACTAAGGGGCTTCTTTTGGGGATGGGGCAGGTTACACACAGGACCGTGACAGGCTTATGTTCCTCTCTGCTGAGGACGGTGACCTCACATCACAGAGCGCATGTGGCCGGGCCATGCAGACACCCCACCCCCAGTACCCACCAGAGCTCGTGTCCCTCTCACGGGAAGCAGGGACAGCCACGTGCTGAGCCTCTGCTGCTGCTGGGTGCCACTCCTGGGGCCCTGGGGCAAAAGGCCATTTGCTTGGTGAGGCTGTTTTACCCAGGAATAAGTCAAATCCTGGACTTTGATTCACTACTGAGAGACTTAAGATTTATTTTTTGAGTTATTTCTACAAGTTACCTCTTAGATCTGAACTAAGATATTTTAAGAAACAGTCAGTTAAGAGGCTGTGACATGGTTTTCAGTTGTGGTTTTGCTATTGATTCATAAGTAACATTGATTGGCAATTGATTCTAGCCACAACAGTGTTACATTATGTATACCCAAGTTGTAAGGCTGAACACTTCTTTTTACTGACTGCTAAGTGGCATAGTGGTTAAGTGCTTCAGCTGCTAACCAAAAGGTCGGCAGTTCAAATCCACCAGGCGCTCTTTGGAAACTCCATAGGGCAGTTCTGCTCTGTCCTATAGGGTTGCTGTGAGTCAGAATCAACTCGATGGCAGCGGGTTTGGTTTGGGTTTTTTTTAAGCTTCTGCTTAAGGAGCCCTGATGGCCCAGTGGTTAAGCACTTGGCTGCTAACTGAAAGGTCAGTGGTTCAAACCCACTAGCCACTCCACAGGAGAAAGATGTGGCAGTCTGCTTCCATAAAGATTTCAGCCTTGAAAACCGTATGGAGCAGTTCTACTCTGTCCTGTAGGGTCGCCATGAGTCGGAATTAACTCGACAGCACCAAGTTTGGTTTTGGGGAGCTTGACTAAGCTTACTGTGAAGGTAATGAACTGGTGGCTCAGGGCACCTCGTGCGCTGGGTTTTCTGTGCTGGGAGTCATAGAGGTTGCATTGAGGGAGTATTTCTGGTCAGTTGCCTGAAAAGGACTTCAAGACAGGCCCTTGAGTCTCTGAGGCACGGACATTTGTTGACTTATTTTTACATTCTAATTATGTATTTACTTTTATACTAGTTTTGTATTTGTGATCTTTTTATTTTTTCCTTAAAGTGGGCTTCCAAAATTGTATTAGCGCTGGTCTCTCAACACTGGACCCCCACACCCCCTCAGTTACTGACTCCTTGTTTTCAGCCACTGTGTTCACTGCTTGTTACTGTAGTGCCAGCTTCTTGGGAGCATGGTTTGCAGGTGGCAGGACTGGGAATACTCCGTGTGAACACGACACTTGCTTCCTCATCTGCAATGCTTTTTGTCCCTTCCAGGCACATGATTGTTTAAACTAGACTCCTCAAAAAAGTTTAATTGGCCTGAATGGGATGAGGTAGCAGTATTCTTGTTTGTTACCATAAATGGAGCGTGTACTTGGACTGCCATAGAAGGCCTTTTGGGTTCATGTCTTTATACAGAGAGTGCCAGAGGGTCTGGAAATCCCAGAGAAGGACAGAGACGGAGGACTAATGTGTAGCAGGAAAAGCGAAGCAGGACTGTGGGTGTTGGGAGGCAGCCCTAGTTGTCAACAGTGGGGCTGCTGGCTCACTTCGCAGCTTCCCAGCCCCTTGACCTGTGGCCTTTGCTGCATTTGTGCCTGCTCTCCTCATCCCTTCTGCCTGACTCAGGGTCTGGCCCACTCCAGTGAAACCACTCTGGCAAAAGTAAAAGATCTTCCAGTCGCCAAATCACATGGGAACGTTTCAGTTCTTTATCTTACTTCACGTCTCTCTTAGGCCTTTGTTCTGGAACTGCTTTTGTCCTTGGTAGGCTCTGTGTCCCCCTATTCCCCCTCCTGTCCCTGGCAGGCTCTGTGTCTCCCCACTCCCCCCCTCCTGTCCCTGGTAGGCTGTGTGTCTTCCCACTCTCCCCTCCTGTCCCTGGTAGGCTCTGTGTCCCCCTATTCCCCCCTCCTGTCCTTGGTGGGCTCCATGCCCTCCCCTCCCCTGGGTTGCGTTGTTCCCTGGGGTGCTGTCCTCTCTGTATCTCACTTCCTGGGCTGTCTCCGCCATCTGTCAGTCACCTGTCCTGACCTCATGCTGAGCTCCTCCAGCTTAATTTGTTCAAAACTGAAATTGCTTCCCCTTCAAATGCTTTCTCATCCTATGCTCCCTATTCCCATGAGTGCAATGCCATGTATCCACTAACCTAAGCCAGGGACTTTAGGACTGCCTGAGGTTCGTCCTCTCTGCAGGTAACACGGGGCCACAGCGATTCCGCATACATTGCAGCCCCACGTGGACGGGTCAGAGGACCTGTTCTCCAGTTATAGTCATCTGATGGGTCAGTTATAATAGATTTGCTAAGTATTCCTTAAAAGAGATGGTCTGCTGTTTTATGAGCAGTAGTAACGTAGTTTCCTCTAATGGGTTTCTTAGCAGAAATCCTGACAGCTGTTTGCTTTTCCCTGTTTATCTTGCATGGTTGTGTGTGTGTCTGTGTCTGTGTGAAAATACCTTATTTCTTTTAATGTCAAAATGGTACATGCTCATTGCAGAAACATTTTGTCGCTGTAAGAAGCCAACAGAGGTCTGTTCAGTGTGGCATTTGCCCGAGCACTTCTGTACTGATAACCATGCATGTTCACTCATTGCTTACCACAGACCAGGCACCGTGGGCCAGGCGTGTCACGCCACTTATGTTGTTTCATTCTCCCAATAAACCTAGGTGGTTTTCCCCCCGTTCTGCAACGTGGAAACCTCAGAGAGCTTAAGTAACTTTTCCAGGGTCACACAGCTGTCACTGTTAGATGACAGAGATGACAGTTAACCCAAGCTGGCTAATTGCAAAGCTTGTTCTTTTAACCCCTGTGTTAAAGTATCTCTTTGGACATTGGTAGCTTTCCTGATCTGACTGTAATAAATGCCATCTTCTTCCTGCAGTGCTGCGCCGTGGCTTTCATTGAGAAACTAGATGCTCAGTCGTTGAATTTAAGTCAGGAGGATTTCGATCGCTACATGTCCGGCCAGACGTCTCCCAGGAAGCAAGAATCTGAGGCCTGGTCTCCAGACGCTTGCTTAGGTGTTAAGCAGATGTATAAGAACTTGGATCTCCTGTCTCAATTGAATGAACGACAGGAAAGGATCATGAGCGAAGCAAAGAAACTTGAAAAAGACCTCATAGATTGGACGGACGGGATTACAAAAGAGGTTCAAGACATTGTAGAGAAATACCCACTTGAAATTAAGCCCCCAAATCAGCCGTTAGCCGCTATTGACTCTGAAAATGTTGAAAATGATAAGCTTCCTCCACCACTGCAACCCCAGGTTTATGCGGGATGATGACAAGTGACACGGATGGTATTTATTCGAGTCTAAATTATAGCTACCCCTTGCTACAGTCCACCGACTGGGATCTAGGATATAACTTACTTGCTTATAAGTGTCAGCAGTTTTAAAGGTACAGTTTTGTGGGGATTGTTGTGTTGGTTTGTTTTGTTTTGTTTTTCCTGGCAGAGGAAGGTTAGTAAATAATAAAATATTATTTATTTGAGTTACCGAAATAGATTCATTTAAGGCTTGTGTGAAACTTTTATCAAAATCTGCTTTTTCTCCATGATTTTCCTATGTGCTTCCTCCAGGGCATGCACTATGGTTCGGTTTTGGGTAAATAATTGCCTTTTAAAGGATCAAACGAATGATATAAACTATATGCTTGAGGGAATTCAATGGTACCACTGTTCGGCCGTTTGAAATAATTTTGTAAGTGTAAAGATAGATATATTGATAAATAAATATGTAAAATTGTAAATATGTTACCAAAAAAAAAGGAATGGTGTCTGCTGTGCATGGCATTTCATGTGGTTATTTTGTTAGTTTAAAATGAAGTATACTGAATGTTTGCCTTGACCCCCATTTTGTTTGGTTTGCCCACTAACATGAATCTGGAAGTGAATAGACATACTCCCATTAAAATTGTGGCTCCATTTTTAATAAACTTTGAAGTCCTCTATAGCAAGAGATTATGACACTATCGAGGTTCAGATAATTTCGATAGCCACGTAAAGTTGCTGTTCCGTATAGTGCATTGAATACTTTGAACCATGCTTCTTGCATCTTTTCCCCCCATGCATTCAACAAATAAGAAATGAGCTCTTTGATGTACAGGACCGGGCCCTGGGTATGAGTTGGAAGGCAGAGGGGTGAATGGGAGCCTGATGGTGAGTGTTGGTGGGCCATCCCTCAGAGCTGTAAAGTGCAGGGTGCCTTCAGCCTCGGTGGTCTGCTTCTGACTTCATGGACCACCCAGACACGCATCGTATAAACCTAGTTCAGGGTTTCTCAAACAGTCCTATTGACACTTGGGGCCTGAGAGTTTTTTGCTGTGGGGGCTGTGCTGTGCACTTGATGTCGGTAGCATTCTCCCTCCCCACTCCCAGTTGTAAAGAAGTGTCTCCAGACATTGCCAGATGGTCCCTGGGGGCCACAACTGCTCCCAGTTGAGAATCACTGATCTGTTTTGTAAGCAAGGAATGTTATCCTCCTGGTAGTTAATTTGGTATTACCAAAGAATACTGCATTAAATGCACAGTGTAATGTTAACTGATCTCTCATCCATGGAGGCGCCACAGCCATCTGCAGTGTGGGACTTTTCCTGTCGTAATGGAACCTTTCATATGCCATTATGATTCTCCTCCCACTCAGTGACTCCTACAGATTATAAGTGTACCTGCGAAATTGTGAGTGGTTCTGGAACAGTGTCACATTGCATGAGCAGTCAAGAAAGGTTCCCTTGCTTTCCCAGCATCTCCCTAATACAGTAAAACCTGCGAAAGCCAGAACCTGTGTAAGGCGAAAACCTGTCAGAGAAGGAAAGCACAAATATTTTCCCCTAAAACAAGCGATAAAAATGTGGTAAGACTGCTCCTGTCAAAGGCGGAAAACTTGTGAGACCCGGGAAAACAAGGCAGTCTCAGTGAGTTCAGCTCTCACAGGTTTCACTGTTGTACACCACAGATTTGTAGTGGAGTGATTTTTGCAATGAAACTAGGGCGGGTATAACACTTTTTATCCTTTACTTAGATCTACTTGAAACATCTTTCAAGCTCGACACGTCTAGTGTCGTAAAGCTCTGAAGGCCCAAAACCGTTAACTTAGACAGCTGATCACAGTGATCGTGTGGGAGGCGATGAGTTACCATCCAGTGCTGGGAGAGTTTGTTCCTAGAATGTCCTGGGCCCAAATGATTTTAGTGGGAAGACTTCCTCTTCTTTTTTCTTTATTTTCTATGTACTCTTTAGGTGCTAATCCAGGTACACATAGTCTTAATTCTCCTGGAAATACACAGTTCTTTTAGTTGTACATTGTATTTGTTAAATAAAGTGTACATATCAGCCCCACAAAAGCTGGCTTCTTTTGGTTTTTTTGCACATCTGTAAGTTGCTGAACTGATTTTTTTTCTATATCTCGTATTAGTCAAATTGTTCAGATACAGACTCTTGCCTTATGTAGAGGATAGTATTTCTCTTAAATCAACATCAAAACTATGACCAGAGCTTCCATTTTCCCAACAAGAAAGCGTTGACATTTTATCTACTATAAATGTGATTGGAATAAATCTTTGGAACAGAAATCCTTATCAATAAAAGTTCATGATTCATCCCTCTTTCCCAAATAGTTGATATTTGGCTCTTCATCTTAGGACAGTATGCATTATTATTAATAACCTCATGTTACAAATGTTTCCTTGTTAAGCCACATCCAGCACTATCATACTTCATAGTAAAACATTAGAGACATTCCAATTAAAATTGAGAAGACAAGAATGTTTGCTGTCACCACATTTTGCATTGTTCTGGAAGTTCTATTCAAATGGAAATAAAAGTAGAGAGAAAAGGAGTTAATATAATCAATATAGAGATTATATAGCTTGGTGATTGAGAACACGAACTCTAGAGCTAGAAGGCTTGGGTTAGAATTTTGACTCTGCCACTTTTTAGCTCTTTGGCCTTGGGCAAGTTACTTAATCTCTCAGGTTTCAGATGTCTCAGCTGTGAAATGGGAATGGTACCTGCTTCATGGAATTGTGAGGATTGAATGACTTGGAACAGTATCTAACAATGGTAAGTGCTCAAGTGTTAGCTAAAATTTGTAGATGATTTTCTAGAAACCCAAGGAATTGATACTAAAACTTATTATGTGAGTTGTTGCAAGTCAGCTCCTACTCATGGTGCCCTTATATACAACACAACAAAACGTTGCCCAGTCCTCCACCACCTTTGTGATCTTTGCTGTGTTTGAGGCCGTTGTTGAGGCTTTTGTTAAAGTTCACTAAAATGGTGAAATGTAAAATGATAAAATAGCCATAAAAAACTGTACAAAATGACTTTCCTATATCATTACTAACAAGTTAGGAAATATAATGGGAAAAATTTACAGTGTCGTGTGTCGTGTTAGGTGCTGTTGAATCGGTTCTGACTCATAGCAACCCCATGTACAACAGAACAAAACACTGCCCATTCCTGTGCCATCCTCACAATCATTGCTGTTTGAGCCCATTGTTGCAGCCACTGTGTCAATCCATCTCATTGAGGGGCCTTCTCTTTTTCTCTGACCTCTACTTTACCAAGCATGATGTTGTTCTCCAGGAATTGGTTCCTCCTGATAACATGTCCAAAGTAAGTGAGAAGTCCTGCCATCCTTGCCGCTAAGAAACATTCTGGCTGTACTTCCAAGACAGATTTGTTCATTCTCCTGGCAGTCTATGGTATATTCAGTAGTCTTTGCTAACACCATAATTCAAACGCATCAGTTCTCCTTCGGTGTTCCTTATTCACTGTCCAGCTTTCATATGCATATGAGGTGATTGAAAATACCATGGCTTGGGTTCTAGTCACGATAGAAACATGTAAATCACCCAGAAATAATATGGGAGTCCCTGGATGGTGCAAATGATTAACATGCTCAACTGCTAACCCAAAAGTTGGTGGTCGAGTCTACCCGGTGATGCCTCGGAAGGAAGCCCTACAGATGTATGTCTGAAAATCAGCCAGTGAAAATCCTATGGGTCACAATAGTCTGATCCACGATCAACCATGGGGATGGTGCAGGACCAGGCAACATTTGGTTCTGTTGTGTGCATGGGGTCGCCATGAGTCTGGGCCTGACTCGAGGACAGCTAACAACAACAACAGTGTTCTTAGGTGTGATAATGGTCTGTGTTTTTGAAGGAAATGCCTTTACTTCTAGAAGATACATCCTGAAGTATCCAAAGTATCATGATGTCTTCAACTTAGTGGATTCATAAAACACACTTGATGTCTATATGCACACAAAGCTGTTATACCAAGATGTTAACAATTGTTGACTTTACATAATGGGTATACAAGTGATTGTTGAACTGTTCTTTCAGTTTTTTTGAATGTTTGTAATTTTTTTAAAATAAAATTTCGGAAGGAAAATCCAAGCACTCACTCACGCTGAGGCTTTAATCATATGTATCTGATGACTTCTAAACGTGTAAATTTCTATTTCCCACCTCTCCCAGATCTCATTTCTCCTTGCCTTCTCAACAGCTCCTCTTGTGTACATCTCAAACTTAACATGTCCAAAACAACCCCAGATCTTCCCTACAAAACCTACTGTTCTTGCGGTCTTCTCAGTCTCGGTTAATGACCATACCTTAATCCAATTGCTCAGGCCAAAAACCTTGGACTCATCCCAGTTCCTCTGTTTCTCTAATACCCACATGCAATTCACCAGGAAATCCTACTGGCCCTGCCTTCGAACATCCAGAAGCTGTTTATCTCAACCACCATAGCCTCCTAAATGTTCTCCCTTCTTCCACTCTTGTCCCTCTGCTGTTTATCTCCACACAGGGGCAAGTTATCTTTTAAAATGAAGCCAGTTCACATCATCTCTTTGCTCAAAACTCACCATGGCTCCCATTTCACTCAGAAAAGAAAGTGGCCTAGGGAGGCGGGGCCAAGATGGCGGAGTAGTCAGACGCTTCCGGTGGTCCTTCGTACAACAAAGACCCCCAAAAAAAGTGAATAGATTGTATATGACAATCTAGGAGCCCTGTACATCAAAGACAAAGTTGAGGAATCAGGCTGAGTGGCAGGGAGAAGGAAAGATGGTTCGGAAGCAGCAAGGAGTTGCCAGACCTGACCCTGCAGGAGCCAGAGCCCTTCAGCCCGGATAACCTTGAGGGTGAGCAGAGAGGCAAGCAGTGGCACTTGGGAGGTGTTTTCCACATCACGAGAGACCCAGCGGCAGAGAGTCTACTCATCCATCCAGAACTAGTGAGAAGATGCCCTTGATCGGCGAAAGGTAAGTATTTGCATCTGGCCTACCGCACAGATCAAAAACACCTCCCTAAGGGAAAAACCCCTCTCCTGTTTACCTCCCTCCTCCCTGCTCTGCACTGGGTTCAGAACAGCTGCAGCTATTGCTAAGTCCCCTGGGCCAGAAGTAGGACCCATCACGCGCCCTGAGCCATTCTCCTGGCCTTGGAGAGGGAATAAATTAACAAATGGGGAAAAAAATCTGCTGGCTCCCCTAAGCCAGGAATCAGGGTAGGCACAGCTCCTTTGCCTAGGCACAGGCATAAGGGATCCATGGACTTTGAGTGCCTTTCCCCCTGCAGAGACTTGTGTGGGCCCATTTCAGCACCATAGGCCCTCATTACCAAAGTACAACAGGGTATATACCTGAAGTCTAACTTCAACTGTTTCAGCTGTGAAGTGGCAGATTCATGACATTTGACTATGCTCTGCCCATTAAGCAGGGTCTTCACCTACCCACATCAGGGGCCTGAGGACTGGTGGCTCCACCCGTGCCACCTAGCCACCTGCGATAGATGCCCAAGATTAAGCGATGCCTCTCAGTCCTTACAGCCAACAACACTGGGTACTCATAGTCTGGCTGCAAAATCCACCCACCTACACGCTCTAGGGAATGGGGACATGCTTTCCTCCTGGACATTTGAGGGCAGCTGTCAGTCCTCTGCCTTGCTCAACATGTGTCACCCTGCTGCAGCCAGATGCTTGTGCCTACACCAATCACCCATGCCTGTCTAGGACTGTAGGTGAGAGCCTGCACCACACACTTGGTGGCTGACTACCTGGACACCTGAGCTGAATCCATACAGGAGGAGTGGGTGAACTCATGGGCTCACATACTTAGTGGCAGTTCTGGCCACCTGGCGGCAGGACATTGGCGCTTCAGGGGCACCAGTGACCAGGCTAGCTCACACAAGCTGCCTATTTTGACATATCAAAACAAAACAAAACAAGAAGCTAAGACACAGTAAGCAAACAAATATAATAACTTATTGATGGCTCAGAGACAACAGTCAATATCAAATCACATAAAGAGGCAGACCATGATGGCTTCAGCAAGCTCCCAAAATAAGAATCTAGAAGTTTTCCAGAGGAAGAAAATTTCTTGGAATTACCGGAGGCAGAATACAAAAGATTAATATACAGAACTCTTCAAGAGAACAGGAAGGAAATTATGCAAATTTCAGAATACACACTAAAGGAACTTAAAAGATTAGAGAAGAGCATGATGACAAATTTAACAGGCTTCAAGAATCCATAGACAGCCATCAGAAATCCAGAAGATTATCAATAAAATTTCAGAATTAGACAACTCAATAGAAAGTCATAGGAGCAGAATTGAGGCAATGGAAGTCAGAATTAGTGAGGTTGAAGATAAAGCACTTGACACCAACTTATTTGAGGAGAAATCAGATAAAAAGATTTTTAAAAATGAAGAAACCCTAAGAATTATGTGGGATTCTATCAAGAGGAATAACCTATGAGTGATTGGAGTACCAGAAAGGGGGGGAGGGGTAACAGTAAATACAGAGAGAATTGTTGAAGATTTGTTGGCAGAAAACTTCCCTGATATCTTGAAAGATGAGAAGATATCTATCCAAGATGCTCACTGAACCCCACATAAGGTAGATCCCAAAAGAAATTCACCAAGACATAATCAAACTTGCCAAAACCAAAGACAGAGAATTTCAAGAGTGTCTAGGGATAAACAAAAAGTCATCTACAAAGGAGAGTCAATAAGAATAAGCTCGGACTACTCAGCAGAAACCATGCAGGCAAGAAGACAATGGGATGACGTATATAAAGCCTTGAAGGTAAAAAACTGCCAGCCAAGAATTATATAACCAGCAAAACTGTCTCTCAGATGTGGTGGCAAAGTTAGGGCATTTCCAGATAAACAGAAGTTTAGGGAATTTGCAAAAACCAAACCAAAACTACAAGATATACTAAAGGGAGTCCTCCAGTTAGAAAATCAGTAACATCAGATAACAACCCAGGAGTAGAACACAGGACAGAGCAACCAGATATCAACCCAGATAGGGAAGTCACAAAAATAAATCAAAGCTAAAACACTGAAAATAGGGAAACAGAGACATCAATATGTAAAAGATGACAACATTAAAACAAAAAAGAGGAACAAAAAATGTAGTCATAGATCTTTCATGGAGAAGAAGTCAAAGCGGTATAAAGAAATAAAAGACTGCTTTAAACTTAGAAAAATAGGGGTAAATATTAAAGTAAGCACAAAGAAACTAAAAATCCTACACATCAAAATGAAAAACATAAAGACTAAGCAAATACTAACTCAACAACAATGAAAAGAAAATACATCAAGAAAAATGACTCAGCACAGAAAACTGAGTGGAACAAAGAAACTGTCAACAACATGAAAAAAAGACATCAAAATGACAGCACTAAACTCATCACTGTCAATAATTACGCTGAATGTAAATGGACTAACAGCACCAATAAAGACAGAGTTGCAGAATGGATAAAAAAATACGATCCGTCTATATGCTGCCTACAAGAGACACACCTTAGACTTAAAGACACAAACAAACTAAAACCCAAAGGATGGAAAAAAATATATCAAGCAAACAACACTCAAAAAAGAGCAGGAGTGGCATTATTAATCTCTAACAAAATAAACTTTACAGCAAAATCCACCACAAAGGATAAGGAAGGACACTATATAATGATTAAATGGTCAATACACCAGGAGGACATAACTATAATAAATATTTACGCATCCAACGACAGGGCTCCAAAACATACAACAAACTCTAATAGCACTGAAAAGAGAAATAGACAGCTCTACAATAATAGCAGGAAACTTCAACACACCCCTTTCGGTGAAGTACAGAACATCCAGAAAGAAGCTCAATAAAGACACGGAAGACCTAAATGCCACAATTAACCAACTTGATCTTATAGACATATAGCAAACACTACACCCAACAGCAGCCAAGTATACTTTCTTTTCCAATGCACATGGAACATTCTCCAGAATAGACCACATAAGGTCATAAAGCAAGCCTTAACAGAATCCAAAGCATCAAAATCTTACAAAGCATCTTTT